TTAGGTTTAAGGGTTTAGGGTTAAGGGTTTAGGGTTTAGGCCCGGAGCCTGAACCCGAATCCCCAAATTGAAGGCCCCGCTCCCACGGCCCGAAGCCCGGAAGCTTGGGGCCCTTTGTGCCTACCTGGGATACCCAGAACCCTACGCCTGAACCCTAAACCCCAAACCTAAACCCTACACCCTAAACCCTAAACCCTATGAGTCTACGACGGAATCTGATTGAGGATTCTTCTGATTTCAAGAAGCCCGTCAAGCCTATGTATAACACCTGACCTACACACGTTCCTAGAATCCCAACCCTGAAGCCTAAGCCGTATCAGTTCCTGTTACGCTTTATCAACACCGTAGACACTGATCCTTCTGAAACCTTAGTAAGCAAGCATTCGGCTAAAATCGCGACCATGGCAAATCTCAAGTGCCTCTGCGAGGTGATCGGAGAAGACATGCGATTCTGGGATGCTCCCCGCAAGGCGCCAATGCTTCTTCTTCGCAGCATCCGACGGATCAGGGGACTTAGTGAGCACGGCTAGTTCTACCAAGTTCTAGGTACTGCAACCCTCAGCCTAAACCCTGAACCCTGAACCCTTAACAGTAAATCCTAAACCCTGAACCCGAAACCCTAAAACTACAACTTCCCCTGGGGTGAGCATCCTGCTGAAAAGGGGCGCCCATTGCACTTTAACAAAGTATAACTTTCCTAGGTAGTATTAGGGCGACCCCTTAAAAGGGACCCTTCTTAACCTTACTTCTGGCTCTCTTAAAAGGGACCTTATTGAGAGGGTCTATATCCCCAAGGGTCCCCCTAGTCGCAACCCTAAACCCTAAACCCTGAACCCTAAACCCTAAACCCTAAACCCTGAACCCTAAACCCTAAACCGTGGCTCTCCAAACTTCAAGGATATCTTCAGCAGAGACCTCCAGGGTGTTTGCTTTGAGGCTCTAGGCCTCCTGGGCTCCGGTTCTATAGTTTTTTTGTTTTGTCAAACGGTTGTTGTTTGTTGTTTAGGGTTTAGGTGTTTAGGGTTTTAGGGGTTTTAGGGTTTAGGTGTTTTAGGGTTTAGGTGTTTTAGGGTTTAGGTGTTTTAGGGTTTAGGGGTTTAGAGTTTAGGGGTTTAGAGTTTAGGGGTTTAAGGGGTTCAGGTGTTTAGGGGTTTAGGGTTCTTGGGCTTCGGAGTGCAGGGGGCATCCGAAGCTTTCTCTATAAAGGCTTATTCGATAAGGGTGCTGCTAGGAAATACGTTTTAGTCTAGGACATTTCCGGGTGGGTAGTTACCATTATAGGAGCCTTATAGAAGGTCTATATACCTTATAGAAGCCTTAAAGAAGCCTTAAAGAAGCCCTATGTACCCTAAACTCCCCACCTGTGGTTTCCTTAAATTTAGGGATCCTTTGCACGGAGTCGGCCACTTCCTGGCTAAGCACCCCCGCGTCAACGCCAAGCTTGACCGGGCAAATACCCTATCCCTGGAGAGCCCGAGACCTGATCCCCGAGCCCTAAGCCCAAGACCCCGGGCCCGAAGCCCTATACTATTTGGGGGTTCCTTATTACGATATAGTATAATATACCCTAAAACCCTATTCTAATTATATTAAGGGCTGTACATTAGGCCCTATAAACCCCTTATAGTCGCCCTTATAGAACCCTTTAAGGAACCCTTTAAAGGAGCCCAAAAATCCTATTCCTTTAAGGCCCCTACATTAGGCCCTAAACCCCTTACAGTCGCCCTGATGGAACCCTTTAAGCCCCCAAAATCCTATTCCTTTAAGGTCCCTACATTAGGCCCTAAACCCTAAACCCTAAACCCCTAAACCCCTAAACCCTAAACTCTAATTACCAAGGCTTCCTACCTTAGGCCCTATAGGCCCTACTCTAAGGCCCCCCCCCCCCCCCCCCCCCCCCC